AATATGTTACTTATGGAATTATCGCGGCACAAATGTTTTAAATATGATCGCATCTGACATTCGAACAGAATCATACGAAATTTGTCTTGAGAACGAATCTGGCTTTCTTCCACCATAATATTTTGACAGTTTAATTAATCATTTCACTAAATTATGAATTTCTCAATTCTTTTCCGCTTTCGTCGTCTACCAATTAATTCAACATTAGTGAGACATTTGTTTATTCTTTGACGCCTTTTCTTTTTTTTTCTTAGTGAGACACATGGTGAGATATTCATTTCTATTAGGATAATTGCTCATCTTAACGTTCCACGATATTGCGCGATGTTATATAACTCTAATAATGCGAAGAATGCGAGCGAAAATACGAATGCTTTTTCGATGCGTTTTAATTTTGTAGTCGGTTTTCCGTAGGCATTTAGAGAAACATTTCCATTTTCTTTTTTTTTTCCATGACATGCGTTGAATATTTTCTTGGTATGAGAATCCCATCTTGCGAACAATGGGAATACTTTTCTATCGCGCGATTTGTAATTTTACTCTTAGGTAAGCGACCGAATTATATATAAATAACGGTGCAATAAACTTAACAATATGTGTGTCCTCTCGCGATATTATGCGATGCTATTGTATCAAGATATTGTGTATTAAGAAAACGTTTTAAATATTCTTTTTACTTTTAAGATTCATATCTTCATTATATTTTGTTAAATATTAATATATTTTATAAATTCGTAACATATTTAAATCGAATTTTACATGTAAATTGAATTTTCTTTGAGAAGACATCTCTCTAAGAATATTAATCGTTTTTAGAATCAGATCGCTGGAAATATATATAGATCCGCGACTGACTGCGGTACTTAATATTATACACATTATTGTCGTCACTTCGTCTATCCATAAAAACTAGCTAAAAGTTTTAAAAATATTGAAAGCTAAACACGGCCTTGGTTATATATGTCGTTACTATAATTGTGTCGTATATATCGAATGGGACACGAAAGTTGAAAAAATAAAGCGGGTATTTTTATGAACGTGCTCTATACATTTTTATTTCTTTCCTCTCCTTCATGTTACATATGTTGTACTATACATAATGCACGATAAAATATATTAAATAAATTTACAGTTTCTGTATATGCAGATTTATATATGCAATTTCCACAGCGTAGCAAGTATTTAAGTTTTAAGTAAAAAAGTATGGTACCGCGATGGTACCGCATTATAGGTGTTATTCACTAATTAATTAATGTAAAATATTAAATTAATGTTAAATAAATGGTAATGATTTTTTCAAATTATTGTTACAAGTAAATAATTAACGTTCAATTAATATATTAAATTAATGTAAAATAATGATCAAATGAATATTCAATAAAAGTTAAATAAATGTTTCCTTTAGATTATTATTTCAAATAAATAAATAGAAAATAAATATTTATTAAATATTATTTTTACAATATAAATCATACAGGGTAAAATTCATTAAAAAATAAATATTTAAAAACATTTTAAAAAGATTGGGTTCAAGTTGACAAAGCGGCTAGTCTTCTCGTCGAGCAAATCAACATAATTGATTATTACTTATAGATACAACCAATCATATTCGATCGTTCGGCAAGCGTACCTAACCACTTTGCCGTCTTGAACTCGCCCATTGTTTGCTAATTTGGAAAGAATTTAGAATGTACGTCCGTGATAAAAAAAACCAAAACTTTCAACAAAAATGTGATGGCATAGTTATAAATCCAAGAATTTAATTTATAGAATAGATGTGTAGTTAAAAGTATCAAAAACGCATGCGCATGTCGCATCGCAGTATCTCGTGACTTTGGCAGATTTCGTAAACTGAATATTCGTCAACTCTTTGACGATTCATATCAATATTTTGGTTCATGAGGTGGAGCTTATTTCTTTTGCAAGAATCGTTCATTTTGTATCTATATCTAGATACATTTAATTAAGGTTGAGGTACATTTGAAATACATGTATCTAGATATTCTTTTTTTTTTAGTACTTGTTTCTACTTATCTGTCTAGGTATGAAATTTGTATAGCCACGTATAAACATATGCATAAAGAAAATTATCCAATTGTATTTCTCTTAAAATCGCATGTAAAATGTGATTAGGTAATTTTCTTTATGCATATATTTATGCGGCTATGCAAGTTGTGTTAATATACTATATGACCATGCATTTGCTCCTTTTTTTAAAAGATCGAGAAATATTCCCAAGTTATGAAAGAAAACAAGATACCCGGTGATTAGATAACACTGTCATGAACTGAGTATATATAGTTCAACACACACAGTTCTCAGCAATACCATTCCAAGCTATTCTTTCGCTACTTAATCGTTAGTATACTGATTTTCAAGATGAATCGAAACGTGGAACCTCTGGATCCATCCAAAATAAGCATCACATCAAGAACATTATACCAACCGCCTCTCGACGAATTAATGAATGGTAATAATAAAGCGTTCTGATTTCATAATAGGAAATCGCAGCTGTGTAATAATTACATAATACATTTGTTATAATCATAGTCCTAGCAGAAGGATTGACTACAAATTTTGCGGAGGCTACTGTCGAGATGACTGATTGTCCTAATTTTGCTGGATGGCCGTACAATTTTTATCGAGAAGGTATAAAAAAAATAACATAAGATACACTTGGCCTGGTATTCATAGTCTCTTATTTCAAGACTGTTATAAGATGCTAATGTAGCCCTCTGATTAATTTGTGACACCTTAAGACGAACTTAAGACAGTCTTGAACATAAGAACTGACTATGAATAATTACTTGGGCTTCCTCAAAATCTCATATTTTTCCTATTTTTTCAGGCTTATGTGGTAATCCGATTATTTTGGACGTTGGTGGTCCAGCATATCTTCTACCAACTGTCCAGAGAGACAAATTCTATGATATTAAGTCGTTGCTGCGACATATAAATTATAATCATGATACTCTTGTCATTGGAGCAGGAGCTGGACCTTGGCCACATACAGGTTGCAATTGTGAGGTGTGTATTAGTAAATTATCTTGATTCAATGAATAATTTGTTCTAATTTAAGAAAAAAAGAAAGTAAATATTTGTATAATATTTATTTCAGCTTATTATGAAGTTAAATGTAAGAAATGACAAAGTCTCGCAAGGGTACAGACTTGGCATGGGAGTGGCGAATGGAACACATTATGCATTTGTAAATAAGTCTAATGGAGAGTGCATACTTGAACGAATAGTTGCTAATGAGGATGAAACAACTTTCGCATTGTTGGCCAATCTATATGCATGCGAAGGGAAACCGGGGAAAGTTATAAAGGTGTGTGCTAAAAAACGTACAGGCAAGCTGGACTTCATATCGTGCATGCAGAAAGCATTAGAAAAACATTATGAAGATAAGCTTGTAGGTAAGTCTGTAACAAACTATCATATATAATAAAGTTAAACAACTGACTCCTCGATTGATTGTTGAATATCTGTAAACTTAGGTTTAGGTGGCACATTCGAAGTAAAAAATGGAAAAGTAAAGCAGCATATTATGTCAGACTTTTCGGATACCCCGTTGATTAGTGAGACCCAGCTTAATAACTGGTTACGTTTCTACAATATGGAGACTCCTCTGATAGCTGTTGGCACATTTGTTAGCACCGAAACAGTAAGCTTTAGAGACATTCAATACATATGATAAGAAAACGAATATCTTCAAATTTCGAAAGCAACAGCCTATATAAATTTGTGTTAAACTATTATTTATTTCTATTTTATTATGTGAATTAAAATACTTATTATTACTGTTTTTCAGGATTTAGATCTCAGAGTTCAGCATTTTCATAGTGCTTTTGACGAGAACAAATTGGGTGGACATTATCACATTGATACAACGCCGGATACGATCGAATATGAGGGCTACTTCAATGTAGCAACTACACTTTATCGTGTCGATCAACCACCTAACAAATTACAGTTTGGGAAAGATTAAATTTGTATATACATTAAATTGTTACAGCAGGTTGAATTTTATTAAATAATTTTTATATCAATGAAGTTGTTGCGAGTAGCATAAGAAAATATATTGATAATATATTTTGTTAAAATATTTATACAAATTTATTTAGATATTCTTCTTTGTATGATTAAGAAATAAACATAAAAATAAATATGATTTTATAACTACACGTAGTTAATCGATTTCCTTGTAAAAGATTTACAACTCATGGTTAAGGGATGAATTATTACGTATACACTTCACAACTCGCATACACTTTACAATACAAAACTAGATTCTACATGGGTTTATAACTTGTTTTATAAATTATAACAGAAATGATCATTAATAATCATTTCTGCTATAATTTATAAAACATGTCAAGGTCATCTGAGCTGTCTCCCTTATTTGGCATATTTAGTATGAAAGTACGAAGGTACCGATGTTAATTACGAGAAATTATTTCAATATCTATGTATAGTTGTGCTAAACGCTTATATAAAATCATATTCCTTTTGTATTTACATATATTCATTTTATACGCATCTCTTGTTTTTATATCCAAAGTTTATCAAAAAAGGAAAAAAATTTTGAACATATGTTAAACAAATGTTTTGGTCTTACAGGTTTCGGCGGTACATTCGTAATAAAAAATGGGAAAACGATACATCATGTCATACAAAACGATTAGGAAGGATTGGTAGAAATGAGAAGACAAATTTATAATTGCATTCGATAATGTATTATTGAAAGTTCTGTGGTAGCATTTGCCACATTTGTTAGTACAGACAGGCATGTCTGCAACGTTTATATTAACATTCTAGCAAATTCGTATTTAATTTGATTTCTTTAGCAAATTGCAATCGAATAAAGATCGCGATGCCTTCGATCGAATGTATATTATAGCTATATATGTATGTATATCCTGTCAATTGGATGATCACGTTTCAAAAAACAGTCTATTTATTTTTTATCAGCGTGTATCGGCAAGTTTCTCATCCTCGTGGTTGTCACTTCACTCGTCCGAATCTTCTTAACGTCATTAATCCGCAATAATCCGTTTCGTCTAAGTTATGCTAATTGTAGACAGAGTCGCAGATGCGTCAACGGGTGGACAATAACAGTACGGCTTGGGCTACTTAGTACCAGTCATCTGACGATCTCTTCGCGTATTCTTACCTTAGTAGTTCTAGTATACATACCGTGATGAAGTTTAGCATAGAATCCACAGCTTCCTATAACAGCATCCACCCGGCCTATCATTACACTGAGCAGTTCGCCAACAATGGTGAGACCTATCGGGACGGTACCAAGTGGTACGGAGTGTTCCTGGCGTTTCTATCAGGAACTTTCTTTACCATCAGCTCAGCTTTAGTCAAAGCGGTCCGCAACGTAGACCCTATGATTTTGCTGGCCATTCGTGCTCTGGTGCAGATCCTAACGATGATTGTTGTGGCCTGCAGATCGTCTAGTAATCTCTTCGGTCCTTCTGATCAAAGAATACTCATACATTTTCAGGTAAAGTTCGTTCATCCATCGATTTTGGATCGAACACGATATATCGATCATCTACGAAGACAATGCAGTCTCTGGATTTGTTAAGATATCTGGATTTGCCAGAAATTTTAATTTTGTAATATAATTGATATTGCTCGTTAATCTACTTTCATGAAATGTCGGTCACTATGAAAGTAGTCATTCTCTTCTTATCTGATTACGCATGTAAATGATCATGCACTTATCTGCAGGCGTCCACAGCTTTTCTATGACGCGTATCATGCTAATTGCATTAGCCGGAAAGTTGGCGACAAATATTATATCCTTTGCAATATCTGTATTCTCATACGGTAGCGAAGCTAAACACCCTCCTGAAAAATTAAGTTTAATTAACTTTATAAAGGGACATACTCGTAAAAACAAAAAAGCTCACGTTCTCCAATGTGTACTCTTTCTATATGCTATTATCATCAATATACTGTAATAATTTAAAAAGAAACATTTTTGTAAAACACAAAACTTTTTTTATGCGATTGCATGCCGCTATACCAATTTTTCTCTTTTTTCCAGGGCCTAGTAGGCGGTATGACCCTATCGCTGTTGTACTATAGCTTCCGAGAATTACCTTTAGGCGATGCCACCACGATCATATTCAGCTCACCGGTGATCGTCATCGCGCTGTCCTTTGTCTTCCTGAAAGAACCCTGCGGTGTTCTGCGCATATTGGTAGTCTGCACGCTCTTGACAGGCGTCATCCTTGTTGCCAGACCACCCTTTTTATTCCAGGTAATGAAAGAAAACTAAAACAAAGTTATCTAAACCAAGCAGAGTATCACGAAATAAAGAATTAATTCGAGGAGGATGAGTTCAATAAACAAAGCTGAGTAAATCACTAAGTGCAGCGCAATTGAGAATTCTTATAATATCTAATATGTGAAATGTAATTTGGACATTCAGATATTTTATTCGTATATACAAAGAGCCAAACAAAATTATACAGATATACGTATTCTTTATTTGTTTTTACATTAAAGAAGTTTTCTTGCTCTTTTATTATTAAATTCAAATTAATTTCAAGTAAAAATTTCGAAAAAAAACCACTCATCAGATCTTCGTTCTTCACCTCTCGAGAGATTTGATTTTTCTCTTCCAGATGCACCGTGCTGAGAGTTACAATCTTATGGGATATCTGTGCGCCATCCTGGCCACTCTCTTCACGGCACTCAACATCGTCGTCATGAGAAAGTGCTCGGAGATACATTATTCCATCCTGGTGCTAAACCTATCATGTTGGTCGTTCGTCTCCGCCGTGTTCTTCTACTTCACGGTATCCGGACACGGTATTGGACATGAGCTCCACAAGTTCCGACTACCACACGATTGGTTCACCTGGGGCCAGATCCTGCTGGTTGCGTTGACTGGTCTTACCGGTCAGGTGTTGGTGACAAAAGCGCTTAAGATCGAGGGTGCGGGTAAAGTATCGGTCACGAGATCGCTGGACATCATTTTGGCATATCTGATCCAGGTTTACATATTCGATGAGAAACCGACATCAACTAGTCTAACTGGCGCGATCCTCATCATCTCCTCCGTTGTCTGCATGGGTTTCGAGAAGGAAATCTACGCGGTCTGCGATTTCATTCCTTAGCCAATGAAACAATCACTCGGGCGATCGATTTCGCAATAGACGCAAGCAAGAATTGCTAAAAACGATCTCAGATTATACTCTGTGGTGAGAATAGGTGAATCGTGAATAGTAAAATTCAAAATGTGTACTTTAAAAAAATTAAAGACTAGTCAAAATATTAAAACTCTACATATCAAAACTTTTTTTAACGATAATATTAAAATCAACAAACATTTAACTGTTTAATTTCTGATTAGAACAAATTCCTAGTATCACACGTTAAAGAGGTACCGATTAATAGATATAGCATTCGATTATAAATGATTTGTTTTGTTCTCTCTTCTTAATATTCCTTAAAATGACATACAGTGAACATCAATCATCTAGATTACCTAGAATCTTCATAATAATAATGGTAATAATAATAATAAATAACAAGTAAATGTATAAGTCGTAGTAATAATAACGATAATAATACCAATAATAATAATAAAGATTAGCAATTTCAAGACAAATTTATACGTGCAAATATATACATAGATGATAATTGGATAGTGAGAAAAATGCTCGTGTAACTCGTTTATACATATATATGTATAATATCTATCGACGGTTTATTCAATATGGGAAAAAGGTACAACTACATTAACAGAGTAAATCACTATATCTCATATATATATATATATACACATGTATGTGTATATATATATAT